ACCGAGTGAATCTGACTCCGCTCAACCTCCGTTCTCCTTCGACTCATCTCATTACCAAAAGACGTTATCGATTCATCCCCCCGTTTATTCACATTTGTCAAATTGCCGAAATCAGTATAAAGGACTGCCGAATGAAATATTGTAATCGTAATTCTCACAAACCATAATTCTACCCTAACTCTACCCTACGCCACGCGAATCAACCTAACCCTCCTCCCGGTTGCTCCTACCTAGCTAAGGGATGTCCGTGAGCCCGCGACAATCCCTGCGTGACGGGAACCTACCTCGAGCCAGGAGAGCCAGCAGCAGAAGAGTAGTCGGGCACAGCGCAGCACAGCACTTCGGCAGGCCAACACTGAGCCCCGACTCCTCCTCCTGCTGTGCTTATGTACCGGACTCGAGGCGGGAACGCCCCCCGTCAGCCGGCCCGAGGCTAAGGCCGACCAACCGGCGCGCTTGGTTACCGTCACGCTGACCTCCACTGGTGTACCTCCCAACGCGGACGCGGGCGCAACGGACGAACAAGACGAACAAAGGATGACACACGCTCACATTCATACGCCTAAATTTCTCCTAAATATTATAATCCCTGATCAATACGACTAAATTCCTACAATCCCTGATTAATACGACTAAATTCCTACAATCCCTACACGATGAAAAAAAGCATAAATGGAAGATTTTAAATGCCATTTTCTCTAACAATTAATGGTAAATTCTCTACATATCAAGGAAAAGGTGCATGCTAACTGATAATTTAAAGTTCTTGGGGCCAGTTGTTTTCTTCTTTTCTTACGTCGCCCCAATGGCCGCGAATACACTTGTGATAACGCCTATCGTAAAGTCGAATGCCTACTTTCGCCAGGCTTATCCCCGCTGAACCTTTTGGTTTTCCACATACGCCCGGCCGAGAGAGATGGAATTCGCTTCTCGCCGCTTCGTCCCTCATCAAGCTATAAGACGGTCGCAAAAAAGAGTGTGTGCGCCGTTACGAGACACAGCAATAGATACCCGCTTTTAAGGTCTCAGGTCAACCGGTGACCTCTGAGGTCAGGTCAAGTGCACAATAGTACGAGTTCGGTTTTGGTAACTAACTTCGCCAGAAACAGTCGCAGAACCGCGATTTTGGCACCAACATGTTCTCCATGCTCAGGCGCAGCAAATGATATACCTACGTTTTATTTGGTTGGGGCCAACTTACAGTGCTTAGTCAGGTCAAGGTCAGGTCAGGTCGGAGCCATTTAGGTCACGAAGCTGGTTGAAGGAGATCATGGCATAACATTCAACTGGGCATGTGTTCCCAAGTCCTGGTCGGTGACTCCTGACTCGCTAACTAAATATGATTGGGGGTTATTGGCGAAAAACTCATATGACCTTAGTGACGTCATAAATGACGTACGAACATAATGTCAACGATGCAAGAATGAAACACCGGACTCCGCAAACTTGCAGAGTGCATGAATTCACGATTCCATGTGGTTGAGATAGTTTAACCCTCGCCCATGTAGGGGGGGGGGTTGGTGCAACCCCCCCCCCCTGAGGCTTTTCGGGAATAGTGCAAAAACGGCGGCGCGCAGCGCCACCAAATTTTGGGTACCTTATGGGGCAGACCTTGCACATCTTTTGATAAAAAAATTGACCGGGTCATGTCAAGTCACGGAGTTATGACGTCACAAAGAGAACAGCCTCCGGCCGGATTTTCACAAACTGAGTGCCAACGCCCGAGGTTTCCTGCCGATGGTACGGACATCGGTTGATGGATCGTGATGAAACTTCCCATGCATGTTGGGGCAAGTATTGGCTATCATATGGTATAAGAAACTTGACCAGGTCAGGTCAGGTCACGGAGCTATGACGTCACGAGAGGAACAGCGTCCGGTACTATTTTTGAAAAGCGCCCGAACCACTATTTTGCTAATTCTTGTCACCTCAATGGGAATATGCAGCAATATTAGCTTATTTAGGGAGCAAATGGACCTCCCAAATCCAAAAATACAATCAGATTTCAGAAATTTAAATTTTGATTTTTCGAATTTCTGCCGCCGACTGTGACCTTGCCGACTTCCGGCGCTCCCAACGCGCCATTTTTAGAGCTAGGGAAACGAAATACATACCAAACGATAGAGAATTGATCAAGGAACACGATAGTGAAGGTTTAAAGTCGATATCTCCCACCGTTTTGCCGCAATCGCCGCCGAAAGTTGAAAAAAGTCTATTTTTCCGAAAATTTGACCTTTGACCGGTCAAAAGTAGGTCAAATGTTGACCTAGCACCAAAAAATATACCACCAATCGCGAGATCTCGGCGAGAGCAATCCGTTGGTCTTTTCCGCTAAGCTCTACGACGCTCCGTTTTCAAACGCCAAGGGGGGGGGGGGGGTCGCACCCCCCCCCCCCTGCATGGGCGAAGGTGGCAGATCGCCGTTTACGGGCGAGGGTTAATTAACCCATTTATGCCCAGGAATATTGACCATCATGAAAATCGACGAAATCAAAATATGTTATGCTCCTACCAGGGCCTTGTATGGAATCGAAAATAATTTTTGCCTGCAGCAAAAGTTTCTCGAGAAAAACGTAAAAAACATGCGTTGCGAAATCGCAACGAAGGGCACACCGGGCGCCATCAGCGTTGCGAAAACGCAACGACGGGCACATCAGACGGACATAAAGTACACTGAACTGCCGTATATGCTAATATGTTTTGACAAAACATCAATCAACTGTTGACAACTATTGCTTGAAAATGCGGAACCCACATCCGTCATGCTCTATAACCCGCCTAAGAGCCTCAGTGAGGAAGCATAACTTCATGATTCGCGAACGGGGAGATGGCAACACGGTCATTATCAACCATTTACGTTGTCCATTGCTGTTCATTTAAAGTTGTGGTCGACACGTATCCAGGGTGATGCTTTCTTTTTGGAAGCTAGACAGATCCATTACCTCCACCTATCAGACCCTACACAGTGCACACTGAATACAATTAAACGGAGGATTGGGAGTAAACCAGTGCCTCTCGTATGCGCGTATATCCGCAATCATTTTTAACCACCCTCCTAGGAGTAAAGTTAAATTCCATTGCAGGTTAGTCGTACCCACTCTCAGCAAAAAGAAAAAAGGACCGATCCGGCTCTAACAAATTACCCGCGTAAGGCGTAGCGCATCACAACAAATCGACTCCCAGTTTATCATGTTTACACCTAATCCAAAATTTTCATGGCCCCACTCTCAGCGACCTTCACGTGTAACCTCTTTCTCGAGACAATGCCAGGACAGAATGGTGATTCGACGTCAATCCGTCCTTTCCATCTTCAGGATAGTTGAATCCTCCTCCACGCCTCATCCCCCTGTTCAGGGCTGGACCGGCAACGTATATCGCAATCGGGCAGCTCACATAGGAGCGCGCCTGTAGCCGGGTGCAGTGAGTGCTTGGGAGGGGGAAAGGGGGTGGGTCATGGGTGGCGGCTGCCCACTGGCTGGGCTCAGTCTCCAGTCTACGATTGACCGTGTCCGGTCAGACAAATGTCTCCCCTAATTCCAATAATCCTGCTAGCTCTAAAAATGGTCTGATTAGATAAAAAGCCTATCAAAGTAAGAAAACAGGCGTACACTCCACATCAAGCAGCTTATGAATCTATGCGAGTTATGAATCCTAAAAATTATTATTTTCCCATGGGTCCGCCCTCATTACCCCTGCCGAAGGGCTCAGCTACCCTCAGAGGGGGCCTATCCCACTATTTGCCGACCCTGTTATCTTTTCTAACGTAAATGCTGGTAGTCAGCAGATTCTATCCAGAGAATGGCGATGCCTATCTGTCGCCTGATACCAGAATACATCCCCGTTATTCATTATTTATGCACAATGTACATAGTAGATCCAATTTCCAAAGGACCTAATTATCTCTCAGCTCCGTTAGCATCGCCGATCGTTTGATGCATGGGTCCTTTTCCTACCATGCGATTTTCAGATGCATGGGAACACATTGCTTAGTGAACGAACAGCCCGAGGCCGAAAATCTGCGAGAGAAAAAGAAAGGAGTGTTTGTGGCTGTTTGAGCCAGCAAATATGAAATGTGTCGCAACATTTTACGTGCGAACGCACCTTGCACTAAACATACCTATATACGTCCCTCATGGCATAGGCGGCGGAGCGGGGGGAGGGGGCACCGGGGCACCGTGCCCCCCTTGATTTTGCCATTTTAACATTATCCCGATAGGCGTTGCATGGAAATGGAAATGGAAAGAATGAGACCAAAAGTCAGCAGTGCTCCCCCCTTAATTGAAGATGTTCCGCCGCTACAGCCTCATGGCTACAAAATGAGAGAGAAAGAAAGAGAGAGAGAAAGAGAGAGAGAGAGAGAAGGGAGAGTGTTGGGGAACGAGGAGGAGAGGGAGAAAGATGGGGAGAGAAAGAGAGAACCCACAGCGTATCACGAGTGAAGTCTACTGTTGATATTCATACTTCCGCTACCCTGCCAATGTGCCCATCGTTGCGTTTTCGCAACACCGCTGTCTTTCCGATGTGCCCTTCGTTGCGTTCCCGCAACGCGACCGTAGTCATATTTGAAAATAGTCACAAACCCTTTTTGTAGCATTATTTCTTAACAAAATGCATATCTACGCTATTGTAGGGACTCTGCAGAATATGTTTACACAATTTTCATTACGATATTATTAAGCACTTAGCCTACTTATCTTGGTTTTCGTGACGTCATCACTCACAAAACCTTCGACTTCCCTCTGGGAGCTCTAGGCAGTAACTTACCGGCCGCACAGACTTGTAACTGCGTAGTATCATGCGCACAACCATGCTACACACGCTGAAACTTGTCTCATCGGTTAGTCTCTTTTACACACTTCTCAAGCTTCGATCACGTCGACGCTTGCTTGCGTTGCGAAAACGCAACGAAGGGCGTAAATGGGTTAAGAATCATTACCAGCGTCATACTGGTAGTTTATATACCCCCTCCCCCCTTGACTTTGGTGACGGTCTGCCGTCAGGTGCTGATACTCAGTAACGGTGCCTACGGCCGGCGTCAGGCCAAGGTCTGCCAGGCGGCCGGCATCCCCTACACCCTGCGGGAGTTCCCGGAGGACCGCGCGCTGGACGTGTCTGCCGCTGAGGAGCTGCTCGCCTCCGACTCCTTCACGACCGTCACCGCCGTGCACTGCGAAACGAGCAGCGGAGTGCTGAACCCGGTCCAGAAAATGGGGCAGGCAGTGCGCCGGCTTCAGCCGCACGCAGCGTTCGTAGTCGACTCGATGAGTGCCTTCGGCGCCGTGCCTCTCGACCTGGAGGAGGCGGGAGTGGACTACTTGGTCAGCTCGGCCAACAAGTGCATCGAGGGCGTGCCCGGCTTCGCGTTCGCCATCTGCCGGTTGAAGCACCTGGAGACGACCAAGGGTGAGCGCCGAGGGCGGAAGACAGGGGCGACTGAGGGGAGCAGGGATGGCGGAGACGTAACTGCTCGTGGGTATAGGTAAAGAAACGAAAAGACGGCATTTCAGTACGTGCGCCAAAGAGCCAAAAGTGGCAAGAGGTGACCGTCAAACTCTTAGAACTGAGAACATGGGTCAATCGTATACTTCCTGACGGCTATTGAAGGCTAGAGTAGTTGGGTGGGGTTAGTGAGCGCCGAGTCTCTCTCTCTCTCTCTCTCCCACTCACCCCACCTCCCTTCCCCTCACAGGTAACAGCCGTAGCCTGAGTCTGGACCTGTACGAGCAGTGGTTCAACCTGGAGTCGACCGGCCAGTTTCGGTTCACTCCTCCCACTCACACCATGCTGGCGTTCCACCGCGCGCTGCGGCACCTCCTCTCCGCCGGCGGAGTGGCCACCCAGGCGGACCGCTACCGCTCCAACAACGTGACCGTCAAGCGCGGCCTGACCGAGCTCGGCTTCCGTCAGCTGGTGCGCGACGGCGATGACTGCTACATCATCACATCGTTCCTGTGTCCGAGCGACCCGCTGTTCTCGTTCAGCAAGCTGTACCGAGGCCTCTCGGAGCGCGGACTGGTCATCTATCCAGGGAAGGTCACTGAGGCGGATTGTTTTCGAGTGGGGAACATCGGAGACCTGCACCAAGAGGATATGGTGCGACTGGTGGAAGGCGTGAGGGACGTACTGAAGGAGATGGGTGTCACCACGCCCGTCCGCTACTAGTAACGTAAGCCGGGGACAATGACGTCAGCGACAAGTGACGTCATCGGAGAACAATGAAGCTAGCTACGACTTCCTATGTCAGCCGAGGACAATCAGTAGCGGCGGAACACCTGGGGGGGGGGGGGGGCACTGCCGACTTTTGGTGTCCCATTCTTTCCATGAAACGCCTATATGGCTTACGTTAAAATGCCGAAATCAAAAAGCCAAGGGGGCACGGTGCCCAGGTGCCCCCCCCCCCCTCCGTTCCGCCGCCTATGAAGACAATACGTCGGTGAAGACGTCAACAGAACACAGTGATTGCATCCGTGGAGCCTAGTTCCGAGCCAAGAACCAATGTCGCAGACTATCGACGAAACGCGTACCTTCAACTAATCAACCTCCAACAGCAGGTTGATGCCAGACATCAGGGTATTGATCTATCGTAGAAAACAGCCTCGGCGTAGGAAGTTTATTGTTACAACGCCAACGCCATTGCTCAAATACACCAGTCAATTGTGTAGGAGTGCAATGTTGTCTCGATCGAGTCATTGAGAATGGCCTCTCAATACTGAAATTTGAAAACCCGTCAGCCGAGGGCCAGCTAATTAAGGGCGAATTAGTCCGCGGTATAGCTAGATTATACACAAATCGCAATTACCCACGCCAGAACTAGATCAAACGTTCAATTGAATGAACTAATTTACGGATATACGTAGACAAAATCGTCACAAATACTGAACTACTGGTCGCAATCAGCACCGAAAACACTGCGTGAGCACTGAGCATAGTCAACTGGATTGAAAGAACAGGACCTCAAACCTTCCCAAAATATCAGTCACGCCTCAAACAATCGACCTAAGAGCGTATGGTCACAAAAGCTGTACCTAACGTTACATGTCCCCAAGCAATAGCACCGATTAACAATAATCATTGCTTAATTACCAACTATCAGAACGCCGAGCACAATTCAATGGCACAGACCAAACCATGCGACAATAAAACTGAATGACTTAGGAAACACTCGGTCTTATATGTTCACCCCGGCGTCAATTCACTGAATCTAGCACAGGTCGCGCTTACCCTCTGACGTCTCTCCTCAGATCTCTGATTCACCCAGATGACTCGCTACAACGCCACTCCACGCGCCGTTTGCCCCCACACGTCAGGCACCGTTTGCCCTCTAGCAATACAAGTACCGACCGTCTTCACACATAGCCTCAGACGCCGGGTGCCCTCACATGTGACCAAATTTACAGGATGTCTTCCCAGATCACCAAATGTATACACCATCGTCCACGTCACTCGTACCAGGCGTCTTCACAGTTCACACAGTACACAATGCGTTGGAGACCCTGCAGCACCACTCCAAACAGCCCCGCGTCACTCCAGAAGCTAACTCGTCATTCCAGTCGCCCTCGTATCACTCCAGGCACCCGACGCCCTGCTACCCTTACACTCCTCGACCGCTACACACTGTCTGTACTGGAAGCCGTGCTCGACGAGACGGTACCGCGGCCCGCCCACGGGTCTGGCGACCACCTGGGCGCCGCTCACACCAACACATCAAACAACGTCACAACACCGACACCAACGGTCTACACACACCGGACCACACTGGCAGCTAGTCATTGCACTAGTTAGTGTACTTGTCATCGGGATTGCCGCAAACTACATCTGAACCCTTGTGGTTTTGATTTTCAAAGCCATATACAGCGCACAGTCAAACTACAAGGTTTGGTTATGGACATGCATGGTTGTCTTGTCTAAAGGGTTTCAGCCCTAGTAACGTTTTGACATTCGGGTATTACAATTAAGTGTACAAGAGGTCTACCAGGTAATTCACCAATGTTTCCATTAAAAGTACCGTAGGGTACGCCTGATAGTCATCAGACGGAGCTACCATGACGCTGGCATCACAAAAAGACAGCATAGGAAAGGGAAAGGCCCTACGATTAGCACTTGGGAACGGTGCACATCCCAAACTACAACACTAGAGTACTGAGCAAGTCAGGGTGATACCTACTCTATACCGTGATAGTGTCTCGCTAGCGCATAGGATAGTGAGAGGATAACCTGATAGAAGAGATGATAGGTGCTAGAAGATAGGATAGTCCTGACGTCAGACGAGGATATCATCCCGAACAGGTCATACCGGCGGGGTAGGTTGAAGGTTCAGACACTGCCAATATCAGTCCAGCTACACATTGCAACTAACAATCTCCTACTAAAGCCGCCCAGCCGGGATCAGACGCCTAGCGCGGGTAACCGAGCAACTTCTCGGCCACACCGAAATAGTAGACCATCTGCGCTATACCGAACAGCGGGGCGATCACGATCATTCGACACGCACCGCCCTTGAAGAACGCCTTGGGGCCCTCGTTCTTCATAATGTTCCTGCCGGGGAGCGTTCAGGGTCAGGTCACAGGCAGGCCGACGTATGTACATAGAAAAACACAGCAGGCGGGCAGGCAGCTGCATAAACATCTAACGGGACACCCAGAAACACTCGACATAGGGAGATAAAACAGAAATAACTCCGTCCCGCGTGACGACAAAAAGTTCCGGAGGTGTGGTCGTGGCAGCACTGCTGATAAAACAGATAAAATATAAATAAACAGGACAATGGATGATGTAAACGAGGCCAGCGGATGAAAAAAAAAACACACACACACATAGCAATAAACCAAACATACACGGGTGACGAAACAATGTTTAGATGAGCTCAACTGTCCGTAGCTACGCATGAATCAACCAATAATTTACGAGCAGTCAATGAATCGCATCACGTCTTATCGACTTCCCATTTCCCAAGCTACAGATTCATCCCCAATAAGGTAGACACCACTCGGGAACACTGCGGCCACACCAGATAGCCGCCCTTGCCTCCCCGCGGCCCGTTCAGCCATCTCAGCCACGGCACGTCGCCGGAGCAGCAGCGGTACTCACAGGAACGCATCGGCGATGCCCTTGTAGGCCGCCTCGCCCTCGCCCTTCTTGATAACCTGCAGTCGCGTCTTGACGACGTCGAACGGATTGACGGCCAGTGCGGAGAGCGAACCGGCGGCACAGCCGGCCAGGAACGAGCACCAGAACACCGCCTCGCCTGGGGAAAGGGGGGAGGAGGTCAGACAGAAAGGAGCACCAGAACACAGCCTCACCTGGGGAGGGGGAGGGGGGCTGACAGAAAGGAGCACCAGAACACCGCCTCGCCTGGGGAGGGGGAGGAGGTCAGACAGAAAGGAGCACCAGAACACAGCCTCGCCTGGGGAAGATGGGGAGGGGTCAGACACAGAGACAGGAGCACCAGAACACCGCCTCGCCTGAGGAAGAGGGGAGGGGGGGGGGGGTCAGACAGAAAGGAGCACCAGAACAATGCCTCGCCCGGGGAGGGGGAACGCACCACCGTCTGACATACAGGAGCACCAGAACACAGCCTCGCCTGGGGAGGAACGGGTACACCACTGTCAGGGTTAAAAAGCGCACTTCACTCAGGGGAACCGACTACAGGCACGTCAGACACACCCACAAGATAGTCTGTCACGACGGATGATACAGCTCAATATCGCATAAACCATCAGCCATTTCAGGGCCAGCAGGCGGTAACCACCCACAACGGTAGAGTCATCACTGCGACCACGTGCATAGCAACAGCAGACCACACTCAACTCAGAGTAAACTATCCACTGACCGCACATTGCTCTGTGACGCGCTCCAGCTCAAATGAAAATAATCAGACGGTCAAGTCTCAACGCACACACGTCCGGCAAACTTCCAGCTGGCGAGCGCGGGACCACTAACTACGCTCGACTCGAAGCACCCACTTCCACTCACCCGATCCATCGCCCTTCCTCGGTCCGAGCGCATTCAGGTGCGCAAACAGCGGGAAGTAGACGCAGCTGAAGCTCACGTCCCGGAGCATAGTGGCAGCCGTGCCGCGGTACAGGCCCGTGATGCCGCGTGTTCGCAGCAGGTCCATGGTGATTTGACGCGCCGAGACGCGTGGTACCTCGGCGCCCGAGCCGGCTGAAAAGGCAGCCGAACACTACATAGTTAAAAACGGAATATTGTTGGATATATTACAAACAAGAACATATCTTTCTGTGTAATCAGTAACAGGTAAGAGTAAACGAATAAGCGAACGACGAAATATTGTGAACGAGGCGTTTCTATAGTTCCCCTGCTGCAATTCCAGCACACCCGAAAACTAACACCCACAGTGGGTCCGACGCACACTGTAAGAATCCACCGTTCGAGGCGACAGCACCTGCAGTGACTGACCCCGCTAGGGGTAGCGGCGCTGACTGACCTGCCTTGGCCATGGCGGCCACCCGGCCGGCGTCCTGCAGCTGAATCTTCAGCAGCTCCATCGGCGTGGTCACGATGATCTGGCAGAAGCCGGCGCTGCCTCCGGCCGCCATCTCGCGGAACAACGTCAGCTTCCTGACGACGGAGGAGCGGTCAGCACTACAGCACAAGTGGATACTGATGGAAACGACAGGCCCTGCACTAAATGAGCTGATGCATTGTTTTGGCACGTCATATCGTCTTTAAACAACACCATAATGACGGTGTGCGTATACCAGAAATACACGCAAAACCAAAATTTTACCTCCCAAGAGCTACATTTAACTTTTTTTTTTAATATTTTTGTTGCCCGACCCGGGCTTTTGTCGTTAGTAGCACACATTCATACTGGGTTAGTACACTATTTACACGGCAGTGGTACGAAGCGTTTTCGGCACCCGCTACGCGGGACAGCCTTGACCGCACGCTTCCTGTCACGCACCCCAGGTGGCACCGCACTGGTGCGCACGCTGGGGCTATCCCGATTTCTCGGGCCCGGCAGGTCAGAGGGCTGCTCCGGGACATGAAGCGAGGCCGTGCCCTCGGGACATGTCACCGGACCGAAGGATCTGTTTAAAGGCGGATCAGGCCCGTGTACCTGCGGCCGGGGGCGCTGGCTGGCACAGCGGTAATCCCCACGACCGAGCGAACACTCCCCAGTTACTGCCATCTCCTGGGTAGGAGCCGGCCGAGGAAAACGCTGCCAGAGGTCAGCTTTAATCCAAGGACCTCCCACACCAAACGTGAACGCACTTGCCAACTGCGCCACAAGGGTGGTAGCTA